TGTTCGTGAAAATACATTGTAATCTGACCATAGTTTATAATCAATTGAATACATTGAAAAGAAAATTTTTCTGTTTTTCAACTCAAAGGTTTATTTTTCAGCTCAAATATTCGTAGAAATATGTTTCAGTCTATCAATAGTTCGTAATTGAAGAGATAAATTGAACAAAAAGGTTATTCCCTAGCTCAAAATTTTGTTTTTCATATCAAAAGCTCGCAAAAGTACATTGAAATCTAACTGTAGTTTGTAATTAACTTTGTCAATTGAAGAAAAAGAAGTTCTATCTTCCAGCTCATAGGTTTCGTTTTCATGTCAAATGTTCGTGTGAATGTACTGAAATGTAACTATAGTTGGTAGTTAATTATAGAGATGAAAAAGAAAGATTTATTTTATTCTCCAGTTCAAAGGTTTACTTTTCATCTCAAATGTTCGTAAAAATATATTGAAATCTAACTGTAGTTCGTAATTAACTTTGTCAATTGAAGAAGAAAAATTCTATCTTCCAGCTCATATGTTTTGTTTTCATGTCGAATGTTCGTGAAAATATATTGAAATCTAACTGTAGTTTGTAGTTAATTCTAGAGATAAAAAAAAAAGATTTTCTATTCTCCAGCTCAAAGGTTTACTTTTCATCTCAAAAGTTCGTGAAAATACATTTAAACTTATCAAAGGTTCGTAATTAAATATATAAACTAAGAAAAAAGTTCTTTCTAGCTCAAAGGTTTGTTTCCTATCTCAAATGATCGTAAAAATTTATTAACAGAATTCTATAGCCTATGTATTTTTTTTAGTCATATTTTATAGTCTAATTTTAATTTCTAATATTTCTAGAAGGATTCCGTAACAAGTATATTAAATCAGAAGGTTTAACAAATCCTTAATCTTATTAAATGGTATATTGATGTTGCATTATATGACTCTTTTTTCAATCCTATATTGTGATCATTAGTTTATCTGAACTATAATTCACATAACTTACCAATTTCATTAAATCAGTAGTTAGTTGAACATGTCACAAGTTTATTTTAGATTTTCAATAAGATTGTTCAAGCAAGAGATACGTTAATATTGATATGAGTAGTTATGTTGATGAAAGAAAATAGAAACGTGCCTTTTATCAGATTGATTCATTATCGTTAATTATAAAAAATAGAATATTATCAAATTCGACTTTCTTGAATTTTATTGGAAAATGAATTAATATGGATTAATAAACCGTTGAAACATAACAAAATGTACACGATAAAGCTTAAAGAAAGACGGTGTCTTACAAATAAAGATTCAGGGTTTGAGAGAGAATAGGGATCGGTCTCGAGCGATTTATTTTCTTGAATTTTTTTATTAAAGTGCGATAATATGTTATTTTTTGAACAAAAGAAACCTATGATTATTAACTTTTGTTTTTATTGCATAAACAAAAAAGTCAAAAAAGTCAAAATATCAAATACAAAATAGAACTTTTATTAATGGTTTTTAAGAAGATAGATTTTCTTCAAATTATTCTATTTGATTCGTTATAGTTTAGATCATTCAAATGTTTAATAAATAGTAAAGTGGGTGTGGGTGTGGGTGTGGGTGCGGATATCTTCTCATCACTCACACCCACACCACACCCACACCCACCCACACCCACACCCCACACCCTGTCTCTATTTCAAAAACTTGGAATCGATTTTTGGAATCGTCAGCAACCCATGATTTGAAACCGAGATAACCGTGGTGGACTTAATTTTGGAACCTTCAGGCTATCGGACACGATTCAATGTATAATTATATAATACCTGTGAAGTCGTGTAGGTTGTTTGTGAATGACATAAGTATTTATTACATTCTGAATCAATTTGACCTCAACAAAAATTTACTAAGGAAGAATAAGGGTGGTACGGAGAATCGTATGTGATAAGTTAGAGTAGCAATATAGTGTGTGATGTGCTCTAGTATCACTCATTTAAATATTTAAATCAGTGTTACCTTCCATATTGTAAATACTGAAACAAATACATGAACTTTGAAATGATTATACTGTATTAACATCTTCTCTACGATTTGATTTAAGTTATACTGAGATTCGATTCAACTCAAGACCTAATTGTGACGAAAAAAATGATGGTAGAAGGGACATTAGTGTGAGATGGTGATACACTTTATTTCCTCCCTTCATATCATTTAGTCGTCTTGTGACGATTGATAATAGAAGTGATGTTAGTGTTGATGATATTACGCTTTATTCTATTTCTTCAGTGACTACTATTATATAATTGATTTGAAGAAACATTAACGAAATGATCGGTGAACACTAGATAAAATATCCAAGTCAATGATTCCGGAGAACGGATATTACAGAAAGTGGTGGGAAAATGCAGAAAAATCCCAGAAACTGGAAGCAATATTTCAATCGAAAATTTTTGGATTTTTTTACGATGATTTTCACTTAGCTCCTACTGAACAGCATAGGAAGTCGGTCCGAATTCACCCGAAAAAAGCCCAAACTTTCTGATGGAAATACTGCTTTCTTGTTCCAGCGATATCCCGTGTTTTCTTGCCAGCATTCATTCATGCTTCTTGAGCCTGACAGATGGATGAAAGTCGAAACTTCATGGCTGGTACTATTCTTTTTTCCTCTATCATGCCATTCTCCTTTCAGTAGAGGGCTTAGCGACGATTGCGTCGCGTTACTTGTTCCATAAGTGATTTATACGGAATCTTAAATAAAAAAATTCTTGTATCACTTACAGACATACAAAAAGTTTTCTTGATGAATTTCTTTTTCATGATAAAAAATTTTTTCTTGATAAAAAACATAATTTTAAGTGTTCAAAAAAAAAATCTTTTTTTTTCTAGATGAAAAATATTATTTATAATGCTTACAAGAAATTTTTCTCATTGAACAAAAAATAAAATCCAAAATTAGAAAGCATGAAATACAATAAGTACTATCTTCTTATGAATTAAAAAGATCGTTTTGATGTAAGAATAATAGTTCATATTTAGATCAATTGTTCCAGGAAAGTGCATCGTAATCACCCATGTTAAAATCTACTTCTTCGCATATATTCGATAGGTTTCTACGACTCGAAATTTATATTCGATGGGTTTGGACAACTCGAAATTGAGACATCTATCGGACAAAAATCCTTTTTTCAATCAAATTCTGATCTATCGGAAACGATCATTCGAGTGATTGAAAACTGCTAGTGAGAACAACCTATCGCCGAGCCCTCGACCCATCGAGAAATGGCAATTCCAGGGGTCGATTTGAAATTTCGATGCCCAACGCAAGTCAAAATCGACGCGTTGAAATATGCATCGGATGGCTAGTTGGGCATCGTCACTTTGAAGCGCAATCATGAAGTCAAGACATTTTATTCTCAATTCAACAAGAATTCCTAAAAGGCATTATTTTTTTTTCTTTTGAAATCAATCTTAAATAGGAAAATTTCTGTTGAATTATTGTTATTATTAATATTCAATATTTTCTAGTTTAGAATAAAAATTGTCAGTATAGTTGAATCCATGAGTGTCACTGCAATGATGTTCCTTTAGTTTTTCCAAAGGAAGCTCGTATAAAGAATTAGTCAGAGTATAACAATTTCGCTTTAACAATGAGAAAGCACATGCTAACAGATCCTTTTGAGGATGTCTTCAGTTCTTTAAGAGGCTCACCTTGAGATATCGATTCAAGATGATAACCTAGATGTTCTCCATGAAAGATTACTCAGATAGAGTGATCAAGCTAACATTTAATCGAGTATTGAAATTTTACGTGCAGAATTTCCTATGCCATTAACAAACTTATTCGGACTTTCAAAGACAACCAGTTTTCTATGCTGTTTCTAGAGATCCCGCTGATTTTTTATGGAACTCAAGAGCATAGATAGATCTTCCACTATTTCAAAGCTAACTGCAAAATGAACCCAATATTTTGGAAGACAGCCTTGACAAAGTATAGGATTTTTCATGAAAAATCCATTTTTGAGAGGTAGTAAAAATTTCGAACCTCTATCTTATTTCAGTCAGAAGTTATGAATCACCAAATTTACCGAAAATTAGAAGTTTTATTCATATTGGATGAGTCATAAGAAAATGAGGATTGAATGTTTTCTGTTACAAATTTTATTCTGAATATAATTCATGAAGATATATGTATAAAAGAAATTTCAGCTCAATCGGTCGAATCATTCTTGAAATAGGATCCCGCTAAGACCCTCTTGGTTGAAATGTTCATTTTTAGAACATTTTGTAAAACATTCATAAAAAGTCAAGAGTCCAATATTTTTAAAAATGACCTGCATCAGAATTCATAAAATTGGTCCCTCCACAACATAATCTTGAAATGGACAAAAACTGACGACATCAATTGATGAATGGATGTGGTAGTGGATCGTAATTTGACCAAAATTAGCTCATATATACATCAGAAAAGATTTTTGCGCGAGTAAAAATCGAAAGCCCAAAATTCTGAAAATTGCTTCAGATACCTAAAGCTTAACAGTACTTAGTTCTAAATCGGGAGCTTATAAATCGCTCATAAGCTAGAGAAATCCTAGCCATAGAGTATATCTAGGACCTACGACATACCTCGATAGTGCTTAACATGTCGCAAAGTGATTTTGAGTGTCTCAATATGTAGAATGCCTACGCTAGTACAATTATTCCCACAACATTTCATAACTAAAAACATTGCTGTTGAAAAATGGCGAAATATGCAATGAATGGGTACTGCATTGGTCATCGTCATTTTTTGCCTGAGAGTACCTCTATTGTGATTCTCAGTATTTCAACAAAATGGATGACATCAATTGAGCGGGACTGGTCGCTGCAAAAGCTCGATTTAAACTTTCGCTCACTATATTCTTTCGAAAATGTATGTGAGTGATACATAAAATAGAGTTAAAACATTAGGTTATGCCTTTTATTAAGATATTGGATTAAAGAAAAACATATGCTAAAGTAAAGTATGAAATAATAAAAACTGTCATTTGAAAGTTCATCAGAAAACTTTAGATGACTTGTTTAGCAGGTACACCAGACCAGTTTGTGTTAGGTGGTAGTTGATCGTCCTTCATCACAAGTGTCCATGGTAAGATACGATTTTGTCCTTGAAGTCTTGCTCCAGAAAGTACTAACGTATTACTCATCAGAACACTAGAATGGTTTACAGTAATTGGTGCCAATTTATATATACGCTGTTCGAATGTATGAGGCTAAAGACAGAAATAGAAAGAATAAAATAAACAAAATATAATAGAATTATGTCTTACTTGGATGACAGCACTCTTGCTGAGACGAACATGATTACCAATATTAACAAGATGAAGATCAGTGAGACAACTAATATCAGGCAGAATAACATCAGATCCGATTTGAGCACCAAGCACACGAAAAAGAAAAACAAGAAATTGTGTTCCTGATAGATATGGTCCAACAAAAGCAGAAAAGTCCTCCATCAACGTATGAAGAAACATATGTTGACGAGTAATAATCTCTGAATATGTGAATCGTGAGCGTTTTTTTAAAAATGAGATCCAACGGTGGTACACTGCACAAAAGAAGATTGCATGAAGAAATAGTGCAGCAATAAGCGGTAATGATAAATATAAAGTAATGAATAGACACTTGCTTATAAAGAAACCAAAACAGGTGAACAACAGAGTATGGATAGATATGGAGTTCGAATATGAAGAATCATTTACGACAGATGTATCATCAGGTATTACAAAGGGCATTTCACGGGCTGGAATACCGAATAATACACAATTACTTTGTGTATTAACTGTTTTTTGTGTAACCAAAGTTAAACTTCCAACGATTGTTTTGGAAGGAAGTTTTGTCGCTGGCATAATTGTACAGCCGCCGCCAAGATTTGTATGTGAGCCAAGATGTATTTCATCAAGATAACAAAGACCTTCTTTCGTCATTTTGAATGAGACAAGTTTAGCTCCACCAAATGTTGTCACACCACGTTCAATGTTAAGAAGGTTTGATGGAAAACGTAATATTTGATGAAAGTTAAGGATTTTGACATCATCTTCGATACGTGCTCCTAACCATCGTAATAGGACAGATGAAAGAACATCGAATGGTGGTAGAAAATCTAACGCTTGATGAAATGATGTTATAATCAATTGACGTAACCACAATTTATGTAAGTAATAGTAAGAATTGATTGGATAGTATCCTGATGTGATAGGTCCTACAATAAACTTCAATAATACTAAGACAATAGAAAAACCTGTTAATGTCCAGATGAACCAAGCTAACGCAAGACTGATAGATAATGGTAGCAATATAATTGAACAGCAAGAATAGATGCCACAAGTTAAAAGCAAAAGTATCGCATGAATGAACAAAAGACATAGTAGACAAATGATTTGACACATAGTTTGACTTAAGGATAACGATCGATCTTTGATAAGTGTCTGATTATTCAATGTTGTAATGACACCTGTGATAGCAGACATTGGTTCCACATAAGCATAATCTTGTATTATGACATCTTCATAGAGTACACTACGTGTGTTGATGGAACAGTATGATCCAATGCGAATCCCATGAAGTTGATAGGTTTGATCGTGATAGGATAAACTTGAAAGTACAACTTCTTCGCCAATAAATGATGATTCTCCCACTTCAAGCAACCAAGGAGCCTCGATTAGTGTAGTGTAAATATGTGTATGATATCCAATTTTGGCACCACATAATCGAAGATAAGAATTATAAAATGGTGTACCTAATAAATACTTTAACCAATAAGAATTATTAGTCGACCATAAACGATTCAAAAACCACCAACGGTAATAATGCCATGAATATAATTTGTCTATTTTGTTTGTAACTTCTTCCGGATAAAGCAACAAACGCTGACAAATAACATATAAGAAAACATGAAAAAAAGGCACAAAAAGTAGCGCGATCAGAGAGTTAGACTGGAGGGCTAGCCATATGGGAGATAGCCATTGACAAATGAGTAACATGAAACCTAATGTTTCGATGCACAACGATGGCATTGGCCGATTTTGATCTTCTTGCAACAATTGCAAAGTAGTAGTTGTGATCGACGAGTCATCGTATGTGACAAGTAATGGTTCAATGACTCGTGCAAGTTGTCGAATCGATGGATTTGAAAATAAGAGATGAGCATCAACCTTTGTACATATTTCTTGTCGAATGAGTACAAGTGCTCGTATAGCATCAAGTGATGTACCACCCAATTGTCCAAATGACATATTTACATTTGGTGATTCATTATGAAATGCCTTACTAAATATGCATTTTAGATGTTCTTCCAGCGGTGTCAATAGAATTACATCAGTTTGATCGATATTCGTCAACGACGAAAATTGAGATGCTGGAAGAAGCTTTCGATCTATTTTTCCATTTGCATTTATAGGAAGTTTCTCCAAAACAACAAATATCGATGGAATCATATGAGGTGGAAGATGAGATTGACAATGTTTACGCAGTTCTTCTACATTAATATCAGTGCTTTGAACATAAGCGACCAAATGATCATCACCCCATTTGATGACAACACAAGTAGAGATGGAGGTCTCAAGTAAACATTGTTCGATTTCTCCAAGTTCAATACGTTGTCCATGTAACTTGATTTGATAATCTTTTCTTCCTTGATAACGAAGAAGACCATTGTTATCCATTCGAACAAGATCACCTGTTCGATAAAATACTTCGCCATCTATCAATAGAAGTGCTCTTGCTGTCAAATCATCACGTCCCAGATAACCAATAAAGACGCCTACACCCCCAACATATAATTCACCTTCTTGTGGGATGACAATACACTGTAACCAACTATCCAAAATCAAACATCGATAATTCGGTAATGTACGTTCAATTGGAATGCTCTTCGTATCGGACGTAATATCAACAACGTGAGATGTACAATCAATAGTTATTTCAGCTGGTCCATACAAATTCCATACTCGACATGTTGATGTTACCATACTTCGCATTAATTTGGCTAATTTTACTGGTAAAACTTCACCTAAAAAATTTAGATACTAAAATATATAATGAAAATGTCATTTCAAATCTACAGACCGCCGGAACATAATGATTTCAGGTATTTCACAGCCTCCCGAGCATTATACCCTTCAAAAAAACTAAAAAAACTGTGAAAGATACTTGGTACAGTTTTCATATATGTAATTTGTTTCTTGCTAAGCACTGTGGAGAGATATTCGAAATCAATAAGTCCTCCTGGACGAAGCATTACTGTTGTCGCACCAACCATCAAGGCACCCAGTATATCTGGGACATGAGCATCGAAGGAACAACGTGCCATCTGTACAATTGTGTCCTTCTCACTGAATGTATCAATATAAATCAAAGAACGCATGCATTCACTAAAGTTTCGATGTCGAACACTAGCCTAAAACAAATGAAATACTCATATAATTTCAAGCGATGATGTGATCAATGACAAACCGCTTTCGGCGCTCCAGTGGAACCGCTTGTGAATACAGTGTACACTATATTCTCGATTGTTACATTGACGTTCGAGAGTCGATTAATATCAACATCACTTTCCAGTTCATTGTCAATCAAAACTGAATCGATGTCAAGTGAAATAATACTATCATTAAATTTATTTTTTGTTAGATGATGAACAAGAACAAGTTGGCTTCGAGTTTGTTCTACAAGCAGATGCAGACGATGTTCTGGATCTCGAGGTGATAATGGACAATACACAGCACCAATCGTTTCTATTCCCATCATACCAATCACCTAGTAATTAGTAATGCTCACTTTTGTGGGAGATATATATTTCTTAGATTAACTTACCATTGATAAACTTCTCTCTACACATTGACAAACAATCTTCCCTACATTCACTTGTTGTTCATTCAAAAGATTCAAAGATAATACTTGAACATAATATAGAAGTTCAGAATATGTGAGAGATTGATCATCCAGTTCGACTGCCAGTTTTTGTGGGTATTTCATCACCTGATGAACAAATTCATGGTGTATACAACTCGTAGAAGGAAATAATACTTGTGTATTATTCATTGATTTCGTAAAAAATTTTTCATTTGGTAATATTAATGAGAACTCATAAATTGGCTTCTTCATCTGAATATCTGTTACGTTAAATAATTGTTCTAACATTGAGTGAAATCGTTGAGTAATTATATCAATTGTTTTTCTATCAAACAAGTCAAGTGATGCATTGATTGTGCATGAAAGTTGATCAATATCCAAATCATGTTGAATAGTAAGAGTGAAATCAAAGTTGCTCATTATTCCATCTTCCCCAATATTTTTTGAAATCGGCGCAGCAATAATTCGAGCATTTCCAATCATCATTTCTTTCTTATCACTTTTACTTTTAAATGACTGAAATTCGAATGATGTCTCAATAAATGCAGGTTTGGTAGCATTTGGATGTTGAGAGAGGATTCGTTGAAGAGGAAAATAAGAATATTTTAAAGTATTTGTAATTATCTCTTTAACATGCTCAACTAGCTGATGAAAAGACCAATGAGGATCTAGTTGACATCGCAAAGGAATAGTATTGACAAACATTCCAATCACTGACATCAATTCTTCTTTATATCTTCCATGTGTGTTCATTCCAATACATAAATCCTTTTCTCCATTAGTCAATTTGAACAAGAATGCATAATAACAAGCAAGTGCTAGTTGTAGAGCTGTTATGCTATTTGATGATGAATAAGCGAGAAAAACATGTGAAAGATCTTCACCAAAATCGAATGAGACAGACATTTCACGACCAGTTCGATATTCATCAGATAGACGATATCGATCAAATGGTAACGGTAACGAATGATCAGTTTTATAATCTCGAAGAGTATCTAGCCAAAACATACTTGCAGCAGTCATTGGCATTTTTTGTTCGATAGTGGCATCTGATTAAGAGAGAGAAATGAGGGATGGTTTACATTGAAAATAATAAATATTTCTACTCACAATCAAGATAACGTAGAATAGTGTCCTCATTGGTAGATAATTCACTTGTTATATATGCTTGATTGAGATCATGAAGAAATAGATCCATTGATGGAAAATCGAATGAAGCATGATGAAAATTGAAAATAATTGCATCTTTATCACAAAGAAGATCATTTGAAGAGATTGATGTATGGTGGAGAATATGACATCGAAAGACAAGAGCTTTAGCAAGATCGAACAATTGAAAGTTTTGTTTCTCATCATGCATAATGTGATCGAGCTTCTCATCAGTTTCGAAATTGCTTTCAATAAATTCAAACAACTTATTGCTATTATCATTGTAATCAATGATTCGTTGCATGAGTTGATTTTTTTCTGTATCGAACAAGAGCGATGTTCGAAGTGATTCATGTTTTCTGACAATTTGCTGAAGAGCAAGTTTCAAGTGTTGAATCGATAAAGTTTGTCCGGAATCGAGACGATAAAGAAAAGGCATATTATAAGTCGCGACAATTGACTGTTTGAGATTGACACGAATTTGTTCATCAAGCCAAATGCGAGTTTGAGCATCAGAGGCTAGCGCTAAATAAATCAAATGTTATTATTATGATTGAATCATTTTTAATGGTCTAGATGTTAGCTAGAAAGCTTTTGTTTACATAATTTTGTTCATCAGGTTGAATCTAAGCGTTGAACAGTGAATGTGGATTACATGTAGAGTTAGTAGAATATTTCTTCACTGACTATTCTTTGCAACAAATTTGTCGCATGAACAAATCGTACGCAGTAAAATGATATAATATTTTATAGTTCACTATAATCGCATATCGCCAACGAATTACGTAGAAATTATGAATGGAAATAAAGGAAAATAAGGAGAAAATAGTAATATGTCTAAGATAAAACTGAAGTCTGAATTCAACAAGTGTTGACACATCTAAAAAGCGTTGAATGCTTTTCCGTTTTGGTAGAAGCAGAATTGTGGTGGTGTGTCATCCACATAGAAGAAGAGAGCCTAGCGATTGACACATCAACGTTTTCACTATAGCTGGAAACCGTAATTATTTTTTGATTTAGAGAGAAGGACGAAACAAATGACCAAGCGTTTCATTACGTAATATTTGGTTGAGTGATTAACGACGCAAAAAGTCCCTGACATCTAATATTCGCATTTAAGAAGCAAGAATTCAACGGGTTTCGTGGCTTACTTGGAAAAAAACTATTCAAATGATCTTGAAAAAGAAGTAGATATAAGGAGAAAACAGACTGATAACTACTCATATTATATCAATAATTTCGTAGACTACTTTATTAATGAACGAAGACGGCCGAGATTGTCAACTAGTACTATCGACGTAAAAAGTCACTTTGATGACGTTCAGTCACATATTACTAAAGCTAATTTCATCTATCTCACATTAAAACCTATTGTCATGATTTTATATGAGCGTTACTTTATGAATTCTGCATTAAGTTGTCTCTATGTGCTAAGTCTTATGGATAAACTCAAGTAAACAAACGTCATTTAATAATTGTTTCGAATGTTGTGTCAAAGACCGTTCTAAAAAGCCAGTTTGAAAATGTCTTGAAACAATTGATTGTATTTGGATAAATATGGCTATTAGCTCGAGTAATTCTTGGAGTGACAAATGGAATATCTTCATTCTATGTAATTCTGTGTAAGTTTGGTTATTTTTATCATGAAATAGATATGTCTTTGCCGCCATAGTTTTTCTAGTTTTTGATACATTCATGCTGGTTTTCTCAAAATATATCCATTTGTAACTAATTTCCACCTAATTTAACATATTTTAATCCGATCAAGCTATCATTGAAACGTTTTTTAGTCATTCAGGTTAAGAAGATATAACAACGTGGTCGAATTTTCTTTCTTAGACTTATCTACAATACTTTTAGTTTTTGTCGTTTTAAAAGCATCTTGTTCCTTCGCGACCCAAAACTTTCAATTTTTTTTGTCGTTCGTCTTGTGTGATACGCATCAATTAATCTACTTGTTTTTATATTGAACTAAATCTATACCATAATAATTTTCATTATTAAGGGAATATATGGTGCTATCAAGTTATCTATAAATTATATTAATTCCAACAGATCACAGACATGCGCTTTCTGTTTCTTAATAGTCTACATCTTCTTCTTGCTTGTATCTATTCTCTTTTGTCATTGTTCAACTGAATCGTCTCAATTAAAATCTTTACCGTTGAATAATTCTTTTTCTTCAATTAGAAAATTTTTGGCTATTTTTCACAACGACTAATTTTCGACTATACGAAAGATAAACCTCTGACAACTGAGCTATCGGCAGTTGAATCTCCGATAGTTGAGCCTCTGTCGATTAATGAAGCAAGGCATGAAGTAAAGACCAGGTCATCTCGTTCAATATGAAATGATGCATGTAGACATGCGACATATTATGGTGTTGATGATTCGCTGGTATTTGCTTTTATGGCCATGTCGTCTCTTTTTATCAACTGCATCGTAGTTACGCGTAGATGTAATTCTGCGTCACAGCTGAGCATAACTCCAGCGCATGGGTCGTAATGAAAATCGCTGCCAAGACTGCAATAACTGTGTCGCATTACTCGTATCGAACGAACTCATATATCTGATACAAACCAAACATAAACAGTTCCATCGTACTTGTAATTGGTCACACACTAGCGCCAAAACTTAGCCACAGAGCGACCATACAAAAGGCAAGTCTTCGTGAGAGTGTGGTTCATATTTCATTCTGCTCCTACCGATAGAGTATGCAGTCTGAATGCATTCTTTTTAGAATAAAAACAGAGACTAGAGGATTCTCTAGGATCGCAAATTCAAATCTGAGGTCAGATTTTCATTTCATTCATTTTTTTTATTATGAATTATTAATAATTCATAATAAAAATATTAAAATAGAAATCTGACCTCATATTTGGATTCCACACCTATCATTGACCTTCGGTCAAGTTTTATAGAACATATTAAAGATTGAGAATAATTATTAGAAAAAACCTATTAATAGAATGAAAATCTTATTTCATGTCGTCTCTTTTTTACCAAATGCGCCGCAGTTTTCCATAATTATGGGTTGCTGTGCGATCGCACTTACGGCGTAACTGCGTCATAATTCGATCGTAATCAAACACATAGGTGAGTAAGAGAATCATCTTTACAAAGATGAACGAATGTTCAAATTAATTATATCTCAGTGGTTCACCTCGTCTTTATTAATTTTCGTCTCACCTTTTCTCATCGTACGATGAGGACCTCGGATCATGCTGAATGAATTTATTATGATCATGAAAAATTACCAAGCTATACAGAAATTAAATTTGATCTGAACTGAAGATTTTCCACCTGGAAATTGCGAACTCACTTTTCTGAGCTAATTTTAATCGACTATCAGAGACTCTTAACAGTTACTAGTTATCAGTTCATGATTTCATTACAAAAATATCAGAAAAGATTTTCTTAGATGGTGAAAGTTATCCCAACTACTACCCTTATGTAACTATGAAAATATCTAGGTATTAAGAAACTTAAAAACATTATGTTTGCTGTAAAAAATCGAACTTTCTAGCTCATTTTACCTTCCTATCGATAGTATTAGTCTTATACGAATGAAAAAGTCTTTTAGTTGCGTTAAAGAATGATTTCAAATAAGAAAGCATTAAATTTATCAAATCCTAAAAAGATTTCATGTCTTTATCGAAGAAAGTCAAGTAAAACAAAGTCTAGATGTTCTTTAATATCAATTGATATGAATTACTAGATCAGAAGTTTTGCAGGAGCTCTTCCTACGTTCATATATTACTGTATATGGAACGCCCTAGAGTAAAATAGAAGTTAATTCTGTTAGAAACTCCAAGAGTTATATGAATTTTACTTATCCATTGTATATCTTTGTGGAACTATACTTTTTTTTGAAAGAACTAGTTCGCTAATTGATATATTCAACGGACCAGCTTTTCGTCAGTCATATTTTGCAATTAAACCAGCTGGTTTTTCGTTGATTTTTGCCAGCTGAGTCAAGTATTTTAACTGGTCGACTGCCGCTTGACTCGGTTCAATTCGGTTGGAAAAAGCTCTATCAGTTCTAGTTATGCTTACTAGTGACTTGCCAGTTAGTAAACTAGTGATTGTATTTGCTACTTATTTAATGTCACTTACTTCTCTTACTCGATCCACAATTGATTCTATGACATCTTTTGGGATATAAAAACTGGCTTAGACACGAACAAGCAGACTTAGAGATTGGTTAGCAAAACACACGACTCATCCGTTACTTTGGCCCACATAAAACCTTTCCGAGAGAAACGTCAGAAAGATAAATTATACCAGTCCCTCGCAAATCGCTAATACTTATTAGAGAAGGTACTCATTCTAACTTTTTTGATTTTCATTAGTTTTTTTGAGCAGAATTATATTTTTTGACATTACTGAAGGACATACCTGTATTGACAACAGTTGGTATTCTTTGAAAAACAATATGTTCTTTTTCTTCAATTTCTTCTGGTAGAAGGAAAAGTAGTTTCACAATCGGTGTAATCGTTTGGGTACCTGAAGCCGAAGAATCAGTCGAGAACAGTTGCGAGAGAAAGTACTGGAAGTGTCGAGCCATCAAGAATATTGCCGACTCGTCAAGGAACTCTGCCGAACATTCCAGGATGAAATGAGTTGTTTGCTCATGATTATTATGGGTCATTGTCAAAGAAATGTCATTCATGGCAGTACCATTACCATGAGACCAATCACGACCAGGATAAACTTGCATGATTGCATTCTCCATTTGAAACTCCTTTGTCGATCTGTATGTCATCAACGATGCAGTGGACTTATATTCGAAGAAAAATGGTATCCTCTGTGACGAAGACTTTCCCACAACTCGGACAATCTCTTGGTACGGTAGTTGAGCATGTTTAAAAACGCCGATA